ACAGAATCGCTCAACTGAAGGGAGCTGGAGAAGAAGCGCCGAAGGCAGAGTGCCTCTGCAACCCTTCTCCCTTCCTCTCCCGTGCTAGAGAAAAAAGTTTATTCGTCCTCCCCGTACCTGCCTGGCTTCGTAGGATCGGCGGTACCATCACAGCGTGACCGATGCGCTAATATCCCCTCAGCGAGGGATGCAATTTAGCCTTTCTGCGGAGCCGGGACCGGCTCTAATTTTGCGCTCTCTCAGAATAGTTTTCCCGTGTCACGTCTGAGGCACAATACAAATCTCTTTGCCTGTTTCTAAAATGTAATTTTATTCTACTGTAGGGCCTTTGAAAGTGTAACTACGCTTAATATTTCAGATTTTTTTTTTTTTCACAGCTCTGGCTAATCTCGTGTGATTGCACGCTTTCCATTGTCAAGATTGAAACATGAGAAAAACAAGTTCCTTGAGGTGCTCCACAAATCCCCCACACCGCTCGTTTGCGAGGAAACATTTTGAGGTCGGATGGGGAGAAAGCAAAAAGTTTTGCGTCTGTCTGCTGGGTCCCTATTCCTGTAAATCAGCCTGCTGTAACTCCAGGTAACCATCCGTACTTACAGGAGAGAAAGCTGGTTCATTCGTCTTATTAAGGCGTTCTTCTTATTAACCAGCATGAACCACTCCTGCATCATAGCTTCCTCTTCTTCTGTGTTCCTTCCTGCAAGAGAAGGCATTTCATTACTGAGGTGGCATTTCACAAGTCGGGCCATGTATTTCCATTCAGCTGCTGAAGTGCCCGTCTCTAATATCACCGAACGTTACAAGGCGTGGTCGCAAATGGTAAAAATATCCCAAGACCACAATGCAAGAACTGAAGCCTAATGCTGTCAGCTCCATAAATAAAAACTTTGAAAGCAGACACTCTGCGGCGTATGTTTTAGTCTTCTTTACCATGCTGACAGAGCCTCCTAAACAAACACCTTTAGAAAGCACCGTATCTTCAATTTTCCTGAAAGAATGCTATTGTTGCTCTGTTCCCAACAAAAAGTCCTGCTGCTGCTGAAAGACGCCCGGACATCAGAGGCAGCCAAACACAAAAAGCAACCCTTGTGGGCAAGATCCGCTCTACCCAAGCAAACCCAGGGCGGGCAGGATTACGCGGTGGGGATCAGTGTAGCTGCAGAGATCATAATCCTGAACCCTTGGCCAAGGTGTGGGCCCCTGCTCAACTTTGCTGAGCCTTTGCCACTCTTCCAGAGCTGCTCCTGTCCTCGCCCACAGTCAAAGTGAGCAGCCGGGGTCCAGCTGGCTAAGGAGCTCCCCGTGTGTACATGGTGGAGATGGCACCTTTGCAGTGACTCCCCTTTCTCATCTCTCAGGTTGAGGAGCAAAAATGGCACGGGCCTTGTTGAATTATGAAACTCACCCATTTCTTAGGGTTCAAATTAACCTGGGAAGAAACCTGGAACAGTGGCAGAGGAACACGAGCTGGGACTTCTGAGTACTTCTCCCAGCTTCCACATCGATTCATCAGGAGACAGACCGTGGGCACACCTCTGCATTTAAGCAGCTTGTGCTTAATAGAAGGATAACCACCCCTACCTAGCTTGCCAGGGTGCTAAAAGTTAATTCTTTGATATTTGCAAGGCATTTTGAACATTTGGCATTTGGTACGTTCTCCTTCCAAGCAGGAGGAGCAGTGGCCAGGCTCTGCCCCAGCGATGTGGGGAGGACTTTGCCCTGTAGAAACACTCTGCCCCCAAGCCCTCCACTTCTGGTTTCATGCAGAAAAGATTCTGCCACACTCGCCCAGCACTTACAATCATATTCTGCAGTTCAGCACTGCCCCGAAGAGGATTAAGACCTATAGGTATAGTTTGCTGTTAAGTTGCAGATCAAAGGAATCGCGGAATCGGTCCCAACTAATGGGGTCTGCCTTTAGAAGCAGATGATGATCGATAGCATCAGGCTTTCACTGACGTGCACCAAGTAGCTGGAATTTATTTGGGGGTGTCAAGTGGGGAGAGATTGCTACTTTATCCTTGCAAAGCGATCCGTGTATTTTGTGGCACATGAGATTGCCACGCTGCAGGTGAAAACAAGTTCTCACAGCAGAACTGTATGGCCGTGGTAACATTTTCATCAATTTATGGCGCCAAATTTGTTGTTTTTAGGGGTGGTCTGGGATCTCCAGATACAAGATGCACTCTGGATGCAAGCCCTTGCTGCATTTCATTTCGCAAAGCCTTTAAAAACAGACACACAGGGATGGGACAGGAAAGTTTTGGAGGAGCTCGCCTCATTTCTACCAGCTGAGGATCTGAACTTTTCCTGACATGAAGCCTCAGGGGAAGGACATAAACCTAAGATAAAAACTTTTGTCTCTTAAGACATTCCTCCTAACTAAGTTGGTTGCAGTGCATAATGAGAAAAGACGAGAAAAGATGCAGGTAAAGCTCGCAGCCCTTACAGGTGCGTTATTTTGGTATTTCTACGCTGCCAGCAAAGCCCGCGGAATATCCTCTGACGAGGCTGTTTTAAAGCGAGTTAACAAAGTCTGTATTGTTTTACAGAATTTTTAATCTTTTCGGGTAGCTGTTTTTGTATTCACTTTGGCCCATGTGATGCCCTGACACCGGTCATGTGATAGTGGCTGCGATAGGCACAAATCCCTGGGCAGCAACAAAAGAAGAAAGAGGAAAAAGAAAAAGCTGAGAAAAAGCTTGCAATTTGGAAAAAGGCCAATTGTACCCTGGTGAAGGCCTTTTTGATCAGTGAAATGACACATGTGTGCAATATTAATAGCAGTAGATTGTGATATTTTCTTTTTTTTGTTGTTGCTGTTGACCAGGAGCTTTTAAATTCTTGTGCACAGAGCTGAAACAGATTTTTCCCAGGCAAGCAAAATAAAGACGAACTGCCATACGTATAATTTTTAAATAACTGTTTTCAGCAAATCCGGTGCCATTAGCTAATTTACTCCCCCCCCCCCAACCCCCCTTCGGTGGAAGGATGCACGCAAAACACTTTCAACAAAGGAAAACTCGGTGTTATTTCAACAGCCGCATTGCAAGCTAAACTCAAGTTTGCACTTTCTAAACCAAAATACACAAAAAAAGCCTTTCCCCCACCTCGTTTCACATTTGCACCCTGTCAAACCACGCTGCTGCAGCGGTCGTTTTTGTTCCTGCTTTCCAAGTGTAAAACAAGGATTTCATTTGACTTGCTGCAAAGGTTTGCAAATTAAAATTGGAATAATATCTGTGCTATTCTCCGAAAAGAAAAATACCGTACGGATTATTCAAATGAAGCGAAAAACATGTTTGAGGACAAATCGATACCTGCATGCAAACCCCTTATCTGAGCCAGGACAAGAGGATGAAAATCTATAAATAGCCCACAGATCTTAAACTTAAATTTTGGTCCATAACACATGCATTACACTATTGTTTTGGATAAAAAACAACAACAACAACAACAACAAAACCCTTTTAAAGCTAGTAAGTTGGACCATTACAAATTAATCCTGACTTTAATAACTGGTTAAAGACCCCTTCAGCTTTATAAGTAACAAAAAATATTAAAGCCTGTGATCACAGCGAGCTTTTCTCATTTCTCCTCTAACCATTTGTTATTTAATCCAATACTAGTAATCCAATTTGTCCATCAGACTTTTAAAGGGCAGAATGCAACTTCCCCAGCTTAGACACTTTTCAAAGTACAATATATTTTTCAAATGAATGCTGGATGTTTCATTTTTTCCCCAACTGTTCCTAGCTCTAATGTATGAGGCAAAAAAGAACAAGATGAACATTGTTCGTACTGATTAAGTAAGAGCTCATTAAAGAGCTGTCAGTGCCGTACTTTGAATATGCATGAAGCATATAATCAGATCTAGTACCGTCACTAGAGGAGAATACGGTAAGTACAAAGGATTGATTTAATTACTTAGAGTGGGCTGTGGTGGTAAAGCAGTCTTGTTAGCGCAAAAAGAAAAGGAGGTTGTATTCTGGCACGGTTAGGGGAAAAAGGCAGTTTTAGCTTCTGCCACAATACTTAATCTCAGGATAAAGCACTTTACATTGTAGCTTAAAATGAAGACTGTCAGTTTTCGAAAAAGACCAGAATTCATCTTATCTTGTTTAACCTCACCTGGTTAACTATCTAGCAGAGCAGATTCGTTCTCTTTAACACGTAATTACGGTTACACCTTTTTATCCCATAGCTCAATAATGACTTCTGAAAGCAGTCTTCAAAATAAGGCTGGTTAGCGCCGCAACCATCCCCTGCACGCACACGGCACGGTAAGAGATTTGAGAAAGGCAGAACCAGAAACTGAGGCGAAACAGTAAGTACACACGTCCTTATGTAAACAGACAATACAGCCTTTGATGTTGTGCTTTATTACTAGATACCTTCTGAGGCGAATTCTGGCAAGGTTTCTCTAATTTAGTTTTTGTCTTTTTTCTTCCTCCGCTCTTCCTTTTTTTTTTTTAATTTTTTGTTTTTGTTTTAAATCAATACACTCTGGTTTTATTCTTCCTCTAGGAATCCAGGGGAATTCTCTCACATCAACTCGCAGTGCCATTTTCTAATTTCATTGTCTGGCTTGAGTGGTGAAGGATGCGTGCTCTATTCTTCCCTTCACTTGACATCTACCAGAACCCTCCTCGGCGATTAGGAGCGAGCCCAACACCAAGCCCACACTAGCCCAGGACACTAAATTCTGCCCTCGGATCCAAGAAACTCCCACTGGCTTCAGAAGTGCGGATCCACGCTGCAACAGCTCCTGCGCAGGCTTCAGGCACGGCTGCAGCACGCAGTTTGGTGATTTCGTCCTAGGAAGCCCAAATTTTAATAATAGCCAAACAACCAACAGCCTTCCCTCCCCAACTTTGTTTTCTCCTGGGGTTAATCACACGTATTCAAATCGTATTTTCGTGACTGTGATTCAGTTACAACTTGAGCCAATTTTCATCTTCAGTGCTCAAGAATTACAAGCATGTTTGTATGTTACCAGGTTTTTTTTTTGAGAACAATACGAGGGACTAGCTTATTTTAGTGCTGCACAGTTTCCAGGCAGCCTTTATAAAATACCTTTCCCTTTGCTTTCTCCAGGATTTGCAGATGGATTTCTGTTTGAACTGTAAGCTAATTATTTGTTAAATATTTAAATAACGAGCATTTGGACAAATGGCTGTCCCGAGTTAATTTGAAAGAGCATTTTTTTTTCTTTTTTTGTTTTCCTTTCCTGCTGAAAATACTTCCCAACACACCCCTTGTGATCAGCCAGCTATCAGTACGTGTATGTGCCATTAGATCCATTATTTTTAAGCCTTTCGGGCAGCTAGTCATTAGATAAACCAAATATGGATTAACATAGCAAAACTGTACATCGCTAAGAAAACAGAGAATAAAGTGCTACAAAACACTGTGAATACCACTTAAAAGGAAGAAAAAGCAGCAACATGCAGGGGCAAGATTAGTTTACAGTGTAAATGGATGAACACAGTAACTCCTCTACACTTTATACCATCGTAAATCTGTCAAGATAAGCCAATAGATTCATATTTTAAAAAAATCCTTAAATGTAAATGTATTTAGCTGTTGTGCAAAAATGAATTACAACCTACAGAAGATAAATAATAAAGGCTTTCTATCAGCATCCCAAACCAGCCCATTCAATCTGGCAAGAAATAACAGGTTTACAGAAATCACTTTGCATGCTGTCTCGAGCAGTAATTGTTTTTAAATTTTATTTGCACTGCGTATAGTGTGTGCCATGGTGTCACGGTTAAACACTGACAACTCCCCATCTCCCCATTTACCTCGACAGAACGACATGAAAAACAACCTACTTAAGACAGAGCCCATTCTTCCCCCATTTGCTGGTGTTTACACACAGTTTTAAAACAGAATAGAAGAAGCTTTCTTCACTCAACACACTTGGGTGAAGAGGCCAGCGAGAGAATGCCAGCCCATGCGAGCTGGAGCGGGGCGAATAATGACAAAAACTGGCCAGCTTTGCTAGGGCCGTGCTAGTTGGTGTTTGACGGGGGCGAGATGGCCACCGAGAGCCGTCCAAACGCCGGCGAATTCCACAAATTTAACGGGAAGCCCTTTTGGAAACCTACACCCCCCTGTTTGTTTGCCCGCTGGGAAAAAAAAAAAATAAAATAAAATAAAGTTGCGTTCATCCAATCATGGGGACGCGTTTTTACGAGTTTCTGTATTAGGAGCAACCGGACAGATTGGCTTGTTTACCTGAAGGAGAACATGAATAGCAAATAAAGGAATAGTCTGAGGATGTGCCTCATCTTGTCTCCTAAGAACCCGGGGAAATGCACTGAAATTGAAGGTGGTGTGTTTAAAACCGATAAAAAGAACTGCCTTCCCTCAAAGCCTCGTCGTTTACCAGTAGGACTCGTTGCCACAAGGCGATGTTGAAACTAAGAGCTCAGCAAGAATTAAAACCGGGTTGAACGGTGACGACGGGGAGGCCAAGCCGTAGCAAGAAATATCCCAACAACCAAACGAAAAGCAAAAGAGGTAGGAGTTGGATCTGCCTGCTTTAGGACACGAGGGAACCTTTCATTTTTAGAGGTTGAATGAAATGATCCCTGGAGACGGGTTAGCCTGTAGCTGGCCCCTGCAGAGTTTCTTTCCCCTGGCAGGGTTCGAAATGAACCCGTCCCTCTACAAGACAATATTCCTGAGCAGGTCACGGGGCTGATCCACCGTGGCAATTACAGCTTTTCAGAAAGGAAGCTCGGGCAGGGAAGAGAAGCAACACCGTGTGTCGTAGCTGACCAGCGTCCTGTCGCTAGCAAAGGCTGGTGGAAGGTCTCGAACCCTTCAAAGCCAACAGCAGACTTTCCACTGCTTTTAACAGTCTTCTCCTCTCACCCACTGTGAACAGTTTGTGCCCAGATGAGCTTTCATTTTGAAAGCAAGTTACTGAATTTAACAAACACTTAAAGAGAAGAGCCCACGTTCACAGCTGATACTCCTCAGAAAGAGGAGCTACACCAGACCTCCTCCAAAACACACCCAACTCGACTGCAGGTCACGGTGAGGATCTGGACACGACTTGCCATTCACAGCTCTTCCCTTTGGGTGAAACTGAGGCATCCCAAAAGAGACCCCTCTGTTCTCTTCTTTAAGAGGCCAATCTTTGGTGGAAAACCTCAGAATTTGGGGTAAAGTAACTCTTCAAAGCTCCAAGTGTCAAAACAGAGCCTGCAGTAAGCACCCCACAGCACGAACCTGCTCGACCCTGAGCTTCATGCCTCCCATGTCAGAATTACCATGCCCAGCTTTCTTCCAGAATACTTATTCCTTTCACTGAACAGGGACCTCCTTCGTTAGTATAAACCACTGAAAATGAACGAGAATAGCCACCGAGAGACAGGCAGGATGGAAGCCCTCTCTATATGACACTGCAGGAGTGCTAGCTATCAGAGGAAGCCCTAGAATGATTTTCCTAGTCTGAGCTGGATGGGAAAATGCCTAAGGAACATTAGAAAGGCAAATTCATGGCCACTAACTTGCTGTCTGAGAGCAGTTGAGAAGGAGACATTGATGTCCACACAATGAAGTCTCATAAAGGTAGGTGCCGACTGCCAAGAATCTGCCAGGCAGAATTGCACTGCGGTGCATTGTCCGCCTGTTCCAGCCCCGAAAATACTGTAACCCTAACGAAACAGAGCCTCGACCGAGGGAATTCCTTTATCGCAAGAACACATCAAATTAGCTTAATATCAAGCAGGAAACTTGTAATTTCTTTGGCTTCTGAGACACAATAAATCAGAGAGCCTATTTAAAACTTGGAGAGCTGTGTAAACAGGAGGTCAGGGCTCTGACCACAGCGCAGCGCAGACAAGGATTTATTCTACCTGCAGTGGGACTGACTCACAGAAAGACAAACATTTGTGGCCCGCCGTCTTGGCAACCCAAAATTATCACAGGATCAAAACTTCCACAAAAGATGAGCTGCCTGAAAGACCGCTGATTTTTTTTTTTTTCTACACAACAAGTCAACAGAGCGGCCACTAGAAAATAACAGAAAATCAACAGAAACAGAACGCCTAGGCTTGATCAAAATGAGTGCGTTTTAAATGTGGGGTTATCAACCAAGACCAAGAAAATGCATAGCTCATGACCCAAAATTCAGGCAGCAAAAGGTGAGATTCAAGTGAAAAATCTGGAGAGACTTCTGTACGAAAGCAGCGGTTCCTTCCTGAGGACAGTGCCTGCAGGGACCCCAGCACTGGGCAGAACCAACACGTGTCCTTCATCACGCTCTGCAATTTCTGTATTCCCAAATTTTCTCCTGTAGCACAACTTCAGAAGAAGCACGGCTTGGGAAAAGCATACATCAGACCCTTGCTTGCAGCACAGGAAACATGCACTGTTAACTGGGACACTCGAACCTTTGAAGCGATGGAAAAAAACAATAGTTCACATTTGGAAATTCACCAAGAGCAGGATGATGGTCTGGCAGACAAACTATTTTGCTTGCAGGTCAAAAAGTAGAGTTGGATGCTTTGTTATAAGTGACAGTAATTACTCCACAGCTTGTGACTAATCCTTAGACCAGTTCACACCCCATTTGCTGGTTCACATGGCGAGCGATGGCTGGTTACAATCCTGAGGTGAGAGGGAAGCTAACCTTAAAGTCTTTGGACTGTGCTCTACATCATCCCATTTCCACCAAATGTTGCCTTGCTTCTTTCAGGATATATTCTCCTGGGGCTGGGAAGGGGTGGTGGACAGCAAAAAAATGACTTCTTTACTGGACAGGGCTGAGTTTAACCCAAACAACTGTCTGAAGGGAGATAACAGCCAGCATTGAATGGGACCTTCTACTGGTGGTAATGAAGATGCCTTGTCTTACTGGGAGTTGGCAGGTTCGTACCTCTGGGACCCAAAAGCTTCCCGGGGCTAACTGGGCAAGTTCAGCTAGGCTGAGGTGTCCTGGGGCTCCATGGTTTCCCGTGTTGACAGAAAAAGTGATTTCGGTGGTAAAATGGAGAAACCCAAGTAGAAATAACAGGGCTTTCTGTAGACTGCAGTGGCCCCGTGGGCTGGAAGCCCCGGGGTGACCAAAGTGCCTTTCTCCTCGCCGTTCTCTTTACAAGCAGGCGCTGGTTGCAGAGAAAGCTAACTCCCAGGCATAAAGCCAAAGCCTATGCCGACCACATGAAAGACCATTTATACTGCAATACCACAAAGAAAGATGGAAATCAGTTAAAAGAAGCAAGTGTCTGTTGGGTCTTGCAAGACTTTTGGAAGGCTTGCAAGTCTATTCATAGCGCCTAGGGCTCTCCCAGAGTAGCCTCCTGCTATGCGGGCAGCGCTGCGTTCAGGCTCTCTTCTTCAAGCTGGCTTCAAGCACTTTGTTGACAGGTTCTTTCAAGGCAACGATGAGGCTACAGCCAGGGAAGTGCACGGAGAGGAGGCTGACCTCTCGTTCAGTCCTTAGGCAGCCAACGGCAACTCGGTATTGCTTTGAGGAAAAAAAAAAAATCACCACGGTCATCGTCGCTGCTGAGCTTCTTTACAATTTAATGAACTTGGCCTGGGAAAGCTGAATGTGTACACTGCCCGCCTCTGGTCTTGGAAAGGTCTCTTCCTGGGAACTTCTGCCTACAAACGCACGGATCTGAGACTGAAGAGATGAGGTGAATGAGAGGGTCAGAACCACGTGCTCCGGGGTTTGGCATGGTGTGCTTGTTCAGTGGGAGCTCCTCAGCGGTAGAAATGCCGGGCATTTGGAAAGGTACGGCTGGCTGATCTTCCTTTGTAGCGAAGGCAAGCCAAGGTTGCTTCACAGGAACTGCTGAGAGGAGTTAAGACTGGAGAGGAACAAATTGGCCAGCGAGAGACTTTGTGGAGGCAGCACGACAGAAGGGAAACTGAAGAAAGGCTGACAAGCCTCAAGAACGCAAGAAGTTCTCAATTGCTCATAAAATCCCAGCAACTACAAACACACTGCTTGTGCAGGAAAAGGGTCAGATCTGGGAATCTCACGTCAGAAAAACATCTTACTAGCGTGCCAGTTTATTTGCCTTAACAAATTCTAATGAATGGCCTTGCACTGCTTGAGATCAATGCTAGCAGGTGTTTCTTCACAGCTCTGTAGGCTTCAGCGTGATTCAAGGCGGTCAAGGCACACTTGGACTCAACGTGGAGCACATTGTAAACGTGACCCAGACCGAAATGTCGTCACACTTCTCATTCAGTTTTGGTAGCTGCCAAAACTCCCGTTCCCATAAATCTGTCGAATTAACATCCCCCAATTCTGCAGAGAAGCATCTTGTGAAGTACCTCATCATATTACTGATCCAAAAAAAAAGCAGTAACTACCAATGCATAGTTTTGTGAAATATTACCAAGTTACAATAAAACACTAAACCAGCTTCTCATGCTCAAGTGTCAAAAAACTTTTCTTCTGCCCAACACAAATTGGTATGAGTAATATACTGCTGGCCTCCTAACCTTCAGATGTATCTAGGAGGAAATACAAATTGGCACCAGCGAAAACCCAAACCAGTGTCATGTACACATCATTCATGTATCTAGATTTTTTTTTTTTAACGCTTTTGCTCACCTTTTATGTTAAATGCAAAAATGTCGATAGTAAAAATACCGCTTTTGGCAATACTTTTTGATTTTCTTTGCCATTATTATACTGTCCTTTCTCTCATCACTCTGGTTCGGCATTCAACACCATCTTTACCTTTCACAATACGGTCAGACAACTCTCTGCCATCGCGTGGTCTGGCCAGCTTTCAGTTCACCTGAGATTAATCACGCTGAGCTAAGCAAAACAATCACACACGTGGAAAGCAAGCGTGGCACAGTGCTGGAAAAACCATGCTGTTATTTATTCCCTCCTTCTGATTCAGGTAAGATAGGAAAATATGAAAAAAATGTACTGATTTCCCTGTCTCGCTACAACTTTTTCCTGTATATGGACAGATATTTTTCACACTTTCTGCTTCCCAAGCAAACAGCTGCAACGACGCTTCTCCTGAAGAGTCACAGGTTACTGCTTGGCAGGAGGGCATGGTCAGCTTGTTGGTACACGTGAGTTTGGGTAGGGGCAATAGTTAGTCCAAGGAAGTGTATTTTGAAGAGAGAAACAAGCATACAAAAGGGACTAATACACAAATGTATCCCTTCCTGCTGACAGAGAGGACTGTAACAAAAACAACTTTTAAATGGAGCCCATCTCTCATGCAAAACTGAACATTCATAATTTTCCTCCCCTGGTGCTAACACCGGTGGATACAAACCCACATTTCCTTCTGAAAACGCCGAAGAGAATTGCGAATGCAATTGTTTTTAAAAGACAAAACTTGTTTGAGGGAGTGTGGTACCTCCTCCTAGCTTAGCCCTCCCTCCCCAAGTGCAAATTCCTATTACAGACCGACGGACTCCAGGAGGAAGCATTCAAGACTGTATAATGCAGGCTGGTAAATACAGCTTGATAATCAGGTTTGTGAAGGTGCAGAGCATATAAGGGATTTATTTTTGATAGTGAAGCTGCACACATATACATCATCAAGCACCCATTGAGAAGCAGAACACTCCAAGTGATTAATACAGCTAAAGGGGGGCAGATAAGAGATCAATGACAAAATCACCTGGTAAAAAAAGTAAAAGGTGTTGCATTAAAGGGGCTTTTACTTTGCATGCGAAACAATACGGAGAAACCTGTATTTTAGCACTTGTACTCAAGAAGCACTCCAAAGTATGCCAGGATGAGAACAGAAACCCATCCTTTCTAATAATCTTGTGACAAAAGCTAAAAGACATCATCCTATTAACTAGTGATCTCAACTGCTAATGCAGAGTACTTCCTGGTGCCTTTTATGTAGAATGCTGCTATTAAAAAACCACTAAACATTCACTGTGAACAACACAGAATCATTCATCTTTTATCAGCATCTCTTGTTAGAGGAGTATGAGAGGGGCTGAAGGTGTCATTGATATTATAGAGTGGAAATTAATCAGAAATTTTTCTCATATTTTCCTCATCACACTAATTTACTTTTGTACAAATTTCCCCCGCTAAAAAGTTCATACCCAGCCCCCTGTTGTACGCTTTTAAGTTGAGAATATTCAACGAGTGCGTCAACTGAAAGGCACCAGGTCCCAACACAAAAAGCATTCGAAATTCTCATTTAGTTGTCTTTATTTTGCTAGCGCCATGTGGTCCTTGAAGATGTAGAAAACACGGGAAGCCGAGTAAAGATCAGAGCAAGCTCATTAGCATTCTGACAAAATTGGAGTGGTGGAGATGTATAGTTTGCCTAGTTTGTCGTTTTGAAAGCTACCGGTGGTAAGCTTTCTATTTCATTGTGCTTTTGTCTTTTTTGGGGGTTTTCAACGCAGCAGGGTGTTTGTTAGCCTAGGTTTTCACAGTGCATTGTGGGAACCTTCCCTGCACATTCAGCCTATATAGTATCATTCGAGTTCAAGTCAAAAAGTTTTTTTTTTTTTTTCCCCATTTATTTCATAATAACCTAGACTGATGTAGAATCGTTGTCTGGCTGTCAAAACCCATCCTGCCAAACACCTGTTTTATCAAGTGAAAAAAAAAAAAAAAGGAACAAAAAATCCCCCCACAAAATAAACGCTGAGCTGCATTTAAAAATAAAACCTTTTAAACACATTGCTGGTTTTCCTCAAAAGACAAGATAAGAAGAAATTAATTTAAATTCCACTGTTTACAATCAACTAGGAGTGCATTTGAGACAGATCCAGTTGATTAGAATTCAAAAGAGACTCTCTCCCTCTGTAAGATCCCAATTCTATTTCAGAGCCTCTTGAAGGAAAGATTGGTTTATACTCCAGAATTATGTAAATAACGAATTACCTCTTAGAAGACCTAAAGAAGTTATTACTCCGGTCATTTGATTTTTTTTTTTATTATTTTTTTTAAACATAAGGCTCGCTTTGAAGGGCTAAAAGGGCTACATTAATGCCGCTATCCGACATGAACGTTTCCAAGTCGCAGTGAAATGGATAAAGGTCTTTTTGGATGAATTTATCTGCTAAATCCTTGCGGTTGCCCTCCTATCTCGGATGATGACCCAAAAGAATGTCAACAGCTCATTTCCCAGAGCGCTGGGAAGAGCCACCACGCCAGCCATAATCGGCGCGTCCTCAAAGCGCCGTCTCAAACGTTACATTTCTCAAGCTCTTTAACGAGGTCCCGCTCTCATCTCCGCCATCCCGGCGGTGTTTTGGCCATCAGTGCTTGGGGAAGGCTCACGACTTCCACGTCGGCGTCCCACGCGTGCGGCCGTCATGTCCGCGAGCACCCACGGGATCCCCAGCGCTTCGAGTTCGTGTTGCTGAAATCGTGGCCACGCCATGGGAGCACCAAGCCAGCTCCGAGCATCCCCGTGTATTAACTCGGCCCTCGTTGGCTCTTTGTATTTTTTTAATATAACGTGTCCAAGTGCCAAAACTGCAGCTATCCCTTCGGTGTGAAAGGATAAAACCTGGCTTGAAAGGAGTTACAATGGCCGTGATTCCGATACAGTAAATTGTACAATGGGATGGGGATTAAAGATTTATTTACTTAGCAATGAGGGAAAGGCTAACCAAACACGAAGAGAAAGAAGCGCTTCACACAAAACCTTCCAAACTCTTTCTTTCTGTTACGTGCTCGGACAGCACCGCTACGTTTGCCAAAATGGCAAGTTTCTTCTCTCACCAAGGAAACAAACGGCCAGGCCAGCAAGGAAACATCGGCCTTTAAAAACAACCAGAAGCACGGGCAGGTACGGGAGATGTCCCCACCGGCCTGGCGGTGTGATTGCCAGGTCTCCATTTCCCCCTCACATTTAAATCCTAATTTCACCCTACGCCCACGTGAAATACAGTGGATTTCATCACGGGGGATTGGGCAACGTTTCAGCTACACATGAGGAGCTCCGTTCCCTCCCCAGCCGAAAACAAAACCCCGGCCCACAGAACGAAATAGCAGTCATTATTTTAAGATTAACAAAAGGCAGAGTTTTGCCAGCTCCGAGGTGCCACCTTTATTTCCAATCTGCTTTTAATCACTCAGTTCCTTTCCATTCAAACTCCTCGCAGAGTCAAATAACCTGGAGACTGTTACACGCACAACAGCGGAGAGGACTGAATTATTTTCTATACTTTGCAATGTGCTTATAGCTGCAAAATTATTTATCTCCTCCACTGCGTTCTGCTACGAAAGTTTCCTCAAGAAGAATCGTCTGGACCAGCCATATCAAATTAGAGGGCAGTCAGGAGTGTCTAAGTCCAGCTTTAAAACAAATATCATAACAATTACTTAGCCATATGGAAAATAGGGTATGTCTTTCCTGAAAGCTTTTATACATTTTCTATCTCGAATTTCAACTTCATTAGAAACTATTTCTGACTCGCAAGCTGCAAGATTGCTAAATATCTGACTGCTAACTCACCATGAAGAAAGCGGCTCTTTTTAATGGCACAACTTTTCCAAGATGCAAATGAACAATAATCTAATTTCGAGAGTAAATTAACTGAAGGATTCATTTTAATATGTTGCAAAGTCTCAGGACTGAAGAGGCAGTTGCAACTTCGGGAGCACGCGCTTCCCCCCCGCCCCCCCAGGCTCGCCCGGCGCCCGCTCCCCCAAAGCCCCGTCCTCAGAAGGGCTCACATTGTACTCGTGTTTGGGTTCCTATGACTTCAAGGCCAGATGTTTCACAAATGACCAACAATCGGAGGTTAGAATAAATTAATGACTGATTTCTGAGCTTTGATGGAATTAAGCATACTTCTTTTCTCAACGTGCCATGTGAATGTTCTCCCGTTAAACTTTTTTTTTTTTTTTTTTTTTTTGACAAGTGAGGCCACCCGGCAGAAAACAACTGATGCAAAACCCAGGAGTAATCCCTCTGTTTAGTTCAACACTGTGGTTAGCCTTAACACTGCCTCTATTATCCAATGGATTTAGAGAAACTTTCATTTATTTGTTGGCCTCAGTCTTCAACTTTGTTGCCTTCTTTAAAGAGCCCAAGACCCATTCCTATGTAAATACATTTGCATGCAGCCACAATGAAACTTTCTGGGACTCTGATTAAACTTGCGAACCAGATAGCCGCAGCGTGCAGATTTGTGATCTTCGGGCGAGTGCTTTCCCGACTACATACGAGTAAATGAAGCTGATGTCAACCCTTGCTACAGGCACGCCGGGAGTTTGAAAGAAACGCTGCGCCGCAAAGCGCGCCCCAAATCCCCCGGTGCCGTCCCGAAACGGCGGCGCTGCCCCGCAGACAGCACCCAACGCGAAATCACCGCCGTGACACAATATTTATGGGCAACAAAAAGCCCTTTTCATCCGGGAGCTGTTGAGACCGGTGCTTTATACGCTACAAAACGTCACCTTCTCTCCGAGCCCCTTCCTGCTGCAGCAGGACAAGAGGATCCCTGTTGTAAAAGTGAGGATTCTCGGCTCCTGGTTCTTCCCTTGTTCTTTTTCTTGCTGCCTCTGTTTATAAAGAGTACCTAGAGTATAATGTATTATTATATACTGTACACAATGCAGCCTTCTTGCAGCCAACTCAAATAGAAAGCTTTGCATCCAGCCAGTCTATTATGAAACAGCACCAGGATTAATCCGCGCAATTACAACCCTCAAAAAATGCAGGTGGACAATCGGTGCAATTTCACCATTCCCACATACAAAATGCCAATACCTTCAAGGTTTATGTTCTGTAAGAGGGGCACGATGGACTTCAGGCATACACCAAGAGCTGGTTTTGTAATTTCACTGGCACTGATGACTGTGGGCCAGGAATTGCAACCTAATATATTCTTTTGGTATATGTTTAAGGAGATAACACCTCCTTCCAGGGGCAAAATGAATCTCTAACTCCTTGTTTTTGCAGTACAAACTGTTTCAATGTAGTTTTAAAAGCTTGGAATACCTAACTTTTTTTTTTTTTTTAAAGTCATATTATAGCATTATTCTAGCCCACTACTACAACCATTAAAAAAATGAAGCCAAATACATAGAAGTACCAAACTCAACCACATATGAAAATGCACTAGCTCATGGAAAATGCCTTGCATAACTGGCAGCATGTGAATGAAGGCACCAGCACAATTCAGAAACCGGTTGTGCTTTACACTTTATTCTCCTTATTCCTGAGTGTAGGTGAAGTCTCTGCTGCCCCGTGCAAATACCATACACAAACCCAATTTCTCTCGTTGGACTAAGCACATCAATACAAAAGCAAATGAACTACCAAAGTGCCCTAATTAACAATTTTGCAAGTGAATGCAGACATCAGTGCCACACTGCAGCCATTAAAGTCTATTCCTCGCCATATCTGTTTCTGTTAACATTTCAATAGCCCAATTAAATGACCTTTCCCCCCCTCAAACTCAATTAAGCTATTTGAACATCAATTGATAACCTACCATGTATTTATGCAAAATGTGCAGGCAAGAGATTCATTTTTTTCAATCCTAATGATGTTTTGAAGAAGAGAAAACTACCTTACAGCTACACTGTCCTGGTATTCCACAGAGATGGGGCCGGGGCTGGGATTGCCTCCCGGGGGACCACTGGGCACAGTGGCATTGTGGCAGGCGGCTTGGCGAAAGCAGGTGCGAGGCAGATATTCTTCTCCCGTGCCATTTGGTCCCTACCAGGCAGCTGCTGGACTGCCTCACGAGGTCAAAAGAAAGTGGAGAGAGCCATCCCTTTCAGCTTGTTGGAGTATCACATCGCTGGGGCACAGCCAGAGCACTGGTAGGTGGCACAGGGTCACAGCAGCCAACTTGGAGAAATCCTTTTTTTTTTTTTTTTTTCTCTGCTCTTGAGTTTCTACACCTCATTCTATAGAGAACAAGCCAACAGGTGCTGCAACACGCACACCTCTCCGAGCATGGCGTGGTAGGTATGACATTTGACTCGTGTGACCCAGGTTAAAAGAGGCAATTTGCTGACATCTGCATTTTCCCAAGGGATTTGGTACACCACAAACCTGTCCGTCATAAATTCAGGGGGACTCAGTCGTGCAAAAAAGGCAGGGGTGGAGGCAACGCTGAATTCTTTGCTCATGTTAAAGGCTAGATAAGGGTCAGTGTCTCCTCTTTAAGAAGTGGCCTCTGCTTCCCAGCACAGGTAAACAGTTCCCTCCGGGGTGTGTAGATAGGGACTGAAAGCATGGGTTTATTTAAAATAAGAGCACCTCACTGGCACGATGAATCTGAGACAGAGACATTTTGATGCAGCTGCTGAGACTAATTCAGGTGAGAAATACAAATTTGTTGCCTTAAAGAATAAAGCACGATGAGAAATCTTCCAGGAAAAAAAATAATAAAAAGAGTATTCCTTTAGGTCATTCAGAGGAAAGCTTTGCCAATACTTAATTCCTTTCAGGAGATGTTTTTAGATCCAAAAAAAAGTTCAATTTTAAACTAAAAAAAAAAACAATTCAAGAAGAAAGCACAGAAGTGGTGGCAGGTATAATTTGTTTAG